TGTTTTGCTTTCTTACCATTCATATGTTCCATGGAGTACCACTTTTAATTTCTTTCAAGGATTTTTCCCTGGCATTCAAAACTTGGCCAACTGTTTGGCACAAGAGGCCTCACTTTTGGCCTATCTTGGCTTTTGATGTGCCTTCCTCACTGAGCTTAATCATTCCAACTTTTGATTTAAGAAATTAGAAATGAGTGACTTTTCCTTTCACATGAACACTTAGAGACCATTAGAGGGTTATGAATTAGCCTAATTTCAATACTGTTGTGTCTCAGGGAATAGGGAGGTCCAAAGAGAGGGAGAGAGATGGGGAATAGCTATTTCATGGAGTAGCCAGAACACATGCAACATTTATTGAATTTGCCATCTTATATGGGTGTGGTTCACTGCGCCCCAAAACAAATACAATAGAAACATCAAAGATCACTGATTACATATGACCATAACAAATGTAATAATAATGAAAATGTTTGAAAGATAGAGAGAATTACCAAAATGTGACAAAGCGATATGACCTGAACAAATGGTGTTAGAAAAATGGCACCAATGGACTTGCGTGACACAAAGTTGCTGTAAACCTTTAAATTGCAATATCTGAGAAGCACAATAAAGTAAATCACAATAAAACAAGGTATGCCTGCATATTAACTCAGTTGATTCTCACAACAACCTGATGAGGTAGGTACCATATCACTGCCATTTCACAGAGAAAACAGTTGATACACAGACAGTTGAGTAGATTATTCAAGATCATGGAGCTAGTGAGCATCAGAACTCGGATTTAAGTCGTGGCAATTCAGGTCAGAGGTATAGTGTTGAATACTGTGCTATGCTGCCCCTTCCATGAGATTCATATTAGGATAGATGAGCACAGATATAACTCCTAACTCAGCCAGTGAGTAGGCTCAGAAAATGTTCTTTGGAGGATGTGGCACTTAGAGTTGAGTCTTAAAGGTTGGAAAAGAATTAGCCAAGCAGAGATTAATAAAGAGTCTTCTAGAAAGAAGGAACAGAATATGTACCTGGAGATGAGGCAGCAAGTGGCATCTATGGGCAACTGTGTTTAGCTTTGCAGGGCAGAAACATGGTGTGTGGGGAAGGGGCAGAACAGACTCATGAGGCTGGAAGGAGTCAGCATGTTCCAAGGTCCTGACATCTCCTCATTGAGGCACTGATGGGGAAGGGAGGCATTGATAGCTTTTAATTAGGGATGCCACATGCTCAGAATTTGTATCAATTTGGAAGGGATGACCTTATTGTCAAAAAGTCCTCGAAGAAGCTACTGCAGTAAGTAATCCATATGGGAGATGATGAAATCTTAAATAAGGAGGGATAGTGACATGAAAAATTAGAGACGGATAAGACATATACACAAAGAGGAACAAAGGGCAATAGGGATCGAGTGGATAAACAGAGCAGGTGACCAGAGACCAGCCAGCCTGGGACAGAATCTCTAGAGGAGGGTTTCTCAAGGGTTCTTTAGTAACACTAACCGTTTTGGCCATATAATTCTTTATTGAGGGTAAGTGTGTGACTGTTCCACACATTTTAGGATGTTTAGCATCATCCCTGGTCTTTGCCCACTAGATCCCAGTACCACTCACCCACCCAAGTTGTGACTACCAAAAAATGTCTCAAGATACTTCCAAATGTTTGAAGGTCAGGGCACTGCAAACAGGAGAGTAGACAAAATTATTCCCCATAATGCTTCTCAGTGTGTGGCCCGAAGACCAGAAGCTTTGGCATCTCCAGGGAACTTGTTAGGAACGTATGTGCTAGACCAGGTATACTAAGTTAGAAACTCTCAGATGGATCCCAGAAATCTTTGTCTGAACGAGCCCTCCCAGGGAAATCTGAGAACCAGTAGTATCAGAGAAGAGAGAGGCAGATGAGGCTGAGGTCAGATGCTATGGACATCTGACCATAGGGTCGGGTACATCAGCCCTGAAGAGGGTATGTTCTAGATGGAGGTTAGGTAAGTCCTAGTAACCCTGGTTAAAGCAAGCTCAGACCACTCTTTCCTGAAGCTTGGGTGTATGGGGTGGAGGGAGAACTACGGGATCGTGTAGGGACCAAGGAAGATGGTTTATCTTTTGGATAAGGCTTAAATACGCATACAAGTTTTGGCAAAGAACCAGTTGGGATGGGGTCTAAAACCTGAAAAAGAGACTAGAAGGTCTAGGAGAGAGTAGTTCAGGGAAAAAAGGTGAAATTTGTGAGTAAACAATCCAAAACATCAAAGAAGGCAATGACAGAGACCATCGTGTGGTTTTGAGCAAAGTGTCATGGGAAAGGTAGGGAAAAATTAATTATTTGGGTTCAAAGTTGGCCTTGGGAATAAACCTGGGCCCTGGGAAGGTCTCACTGAAGGTTCAGACCTGCCCTAAACCCGTGCAAAATATCTACTGATTTAGGCCAAGGACAAAGAACTGAGTCCTCAATTATCTGGACATACCAATTAAAAAGAGTTTCCTTTATTTAATGAATTTCATCACTCACATTAAGAACAAGTTCTTTTTGCACGTGATTGGTCCATTTGTCTTGCACATAAATTCTGCTCTAGTGGTTTGGAAACTCTAAGTTCATAAATCACTGTACAATCCTGGATTCTTGGAGTGAGTGTACCTTCAGAGGTGAACTGGTAGCTGCCTTCTCTTTGGACAGATAGAGCATATTTATACTCACCTTCACAGGTAATTCAACTGAGCACCCAAGGGAGGAAGAGCCTTGCTCAGAGGAACAGAAAGTCACCTTGTTGGTATGTTAAATGTTAAATGATGTTCTTTTTGGGGGAAGAAAGTCCACCTGATCCATGATTGGTCTCTGTGCTTGCAGTACAGATGATGCAGGGGAGGTTGGGGATAATAGAATTGTCTGTGTAGGAGAGGGTAAGAGGCAGCATCTAGCCAGCAGAATTTTCAATTAAGCTTCCAGTAACAGGCTTACCCCCTATCCTTTTGTCAGCCAATGCTGGGTACACCAAGGCGAACATGATCTGTTCTTCACTGTCAAGAAGCTCGCTGCCTAGTGGGAGCAAGCAAATAAATGCAACACGATGTGATAGGTGCTATTATAGTTGCAAATACAGGTGTTATGAGAGGGTACAGCAAGGAAAAGAAAAGAGCCATTCCCAACAGAGAGGAGGGCATGCGTGAAATCCTAGAGGCAAAGAGACATGGTGAGTGCGAGGAACAGAGCCCAGTGCTCTACGTATGACAAGGCATAGGATGAAGAGGACAGGGGAATATAGAGATGGATGGGGTGAGGCCAGGGCACAACAGGTCACAAAAGAGATTCCTAAACTTTCTCAGTTCACTGCTCTCTTAGTATGTCAGTTATTTTTCCCCAGTGCCTTGAGGCCCAAAGAAATACCACGTGGTAAGTAGGTGGGTCAAAGCAGCTTAATAGGTATTTACTTCCTAACAATCATTGCCATGTGAAAAAAACTCACATAAATTAATGAAAAAAACTAATATCGTGATTCCATTCTTAAAAGATCACAATTCCTTATGAATGGGGCATATGTAGCTGTTGGATACTATATAATTTCTCAAACCTTGGAATCAGATTGGGGACTGCCATTTTCATTTTCTGTTCCACATTGAATTTGGGGTGACATTTCCTTTTTATCATCATGCCCACGAAAACCCCAGCTTTTCAAATACATAATGTTCTCAAAAAGAATCTATTTGGGTCTAATGTGAAACTGTGAACTATCTCAGACTACTGTCCCCCCATGTGGAGTCTTGCTGCATTTCCATCAAAAGAGGTAAAATATCCTGTGTTCCCCTATGAGTTCCCTACAGTGCTCTTTGAGGACTCAATATGGGAAGCCTAGGGTCACAACGTAGTTCTTGGTTTCTAAAAGAGGATTAGCAATGAAAGCATGAAACTCAAAACCTGGAGTTAGGATACTGAGCAATTGTTGATACTGTTAGGGAAAGACAGAAAATTTATGAACATATGCAAAGTAGATGGAGAAATGAAACACTGGAAGGTACAGATTATGGAGAAGGAGATATTATAGGCTTGAGAGATTATTTTTAATCCTTTAGGAATGGTTTTGTTTTTTGTTATACAGTGACAATCCTCAGCCTCAGTGTGAGGAGGAAGGCCTGTCAACGGCGAAGTTTGAGCCATTACGCTCCCCTTTTTGCTGTTTTTGTGATGGTGTGCTGTGTGCGTGCGTGTGCTCATCTTTTCTGTTTCAGCCAAGCATGAAAACCTCTGAAGTAATTGCTATGGTCTCCGGGGCTCTTATACCCCAATCCCCAGCTTTGGGTAAATTAGCAGAATTCTAGGATTTCCAGAGGACTGTAGCAGAAACAAATGTCAAAGGAGACAGAGGGAATGAAAAAAAAAAGAAAAAAGAAAAAGTCAGCAGGCAGCAAAGACATATTTACTTGCGATAGAAAGACCCCCTCAGTGAAGGAGATAAAGGAGAGAATGACTGACCTTTATTCATGGGAGATGAGATAAAGTGAAGGGAGCTGGTGCCATGAAAAAAAGCAAGGGGAATGAGAGCCTGCAGAGAGAGGAGCATTCTCCTGTCACTTGGACAGTGGTGACATTATTGAGTCTCTGCCCATGTTGCCTCTGACAGGAATTGTCTCTCTGGGACGCCTGAGGAATGGGCAGGGACACTCCTACCAAGAACAGGCAGCTGGCTGCATGGAGTGATTAGAAGTCACATAAACTTCCCAGCCCTGGACCAAAAATAACCTCCCAACAGATCTGCCACCAAGCCTGAAATGCTCACCATTGTCACGGTGCTTCTGAATTGGGGCACTGTGTCTCCAGGGTCCCTCTGTTAAAAAAGAAAGGTGTTATTCTGGAAGGATAAAACAGTAACCCAACATTTGTCCACATTGTTAGCCAATAAAATCTAATGAACCCCCTAATGTGTATTTTACTGTATCTAAAGTTATCTCTTCCTGTGTAATAGATTGTCCCAAAACTTAGTGGCTTAAGTCAGTAAAAATTTATATCTCACAGTTTGTGTGGGTCAGGAATTTGGGAGCAGCTTAGCTGGCAGTTCGGGTACAGGGTCTCTCATGAGGATGTGGTTAGGATGCTGGCGGGGGCTGCAGTCTGCATGTGATGCCTTGAGTGCTTCCAAGATGGCTCACTCATATGGTTCTTGGCAAGAAGCTTCAGTTCCTCATCACGTGTACCTCTCTGGGGGGCTGTCTGAGTATCCTCACAACATGGCTGTGGGCTCTCCTCAAGAGTGAGTGATCTGAGAGAGAGAGAGAGAAGTAGGGAAGATGCTACAAATGTCGTCCATGTCCTAGTCTTGGAAATCACACTCTCTCACTGCTGGCATACGCCATTCCTTGGGATGAAGTAACTAAGTCCAGCCCATACTCAAGGGGAAGGTAATTAAATGCCATCTGTCGAATGGAAGAGTATCAAAGATTTGTAGACATATTTAAAACTCACCACACCTGATCACCCATTAGCCACGAAAAGATGGGGAATGGGGCAGCTAAGGATTTTTTTTTTTCTCAATAGCTTTATTGTGGTATATTTGACATACCATACAATTGATCAATTCAGCGATTTTTAGTACACAGTGCTGCACAGCCGTCACCACTATCTAATTCCAGAACATTTTCATCACCTCAATAAGGAACGCCATTACCCATTAGTGGTCATGCCCCATTCCCCCACTCACCTGGCCTTGGGCAACAACTAAACTACTTTTGGAATAGGTAAGCTTTGATTGAAGAAGAAAAGACTGGAATAGATTTCTATTCTGTCTTCCATCTTGCTAAGGTTGGTCAGTGGAGGGCAGACAGAGGCAGGGATCCGCATGGGACAGCAACACAGATAGGGCCAGGCCTCCCTCCATGCTGCAAGCTGTGGTCAGAGGTTACACGCAACTTCTCACCACCAGGAGCCAGAACACGGGCACTGTGTAGGAAACTGGCTCTGCCTGGCGGTCTAGTGGGATCCCTGAGGAGCAGATCAGCAATCTGACAGTTCCGGTGACTTGTAGGGGGAGACATGGGCCTGAATGGAGTGCTCCAGGTAGACAGATGCTGAATTCACAATCAGATAAGTCTGTGTAGGGATCCCAGCTCTGCCACTGACTAGCTTGTGTCTTTAGTCAAGTTATATAACTTAAATCAAGCCTTCCTTGGAGAATGGCACAGATTCTCCTTTTGATTTCTCCCCTGCCTACAAGTTCCTAAGACCCACCTCAGAAGTAATAATCTTGGAGTTTTGTTGTAAGAATTAGACATATATGGACTATACTTAGCCTGAGGACTTTGTGTACAGCATGTTTCAATAAAGGATGGTTATTACTACTACTACTATTTACAAGGTTGCTAGGGAATGACTTGGATTTGGGCTGGGAGCCTCTCAGTAATCTCTGGGGTATTTGGGGATAGGAGTCCAGGCGAGTCCTCTGCGGATTAGTTTACTGCCGTTTAAGACACACCAGCCCTTTCTCACCTCCCCTGGGGCTGCTCCAGTCCTTCTTTTGAATGGAGGGTGAATCTGAGAAGTTGTTTTGTTCTCAATGTACTTCAAAAGTACACAAGAGCTTAGAAATACTGCTACATATGTGTATACATTTATATATGTGTTGGTTTCTCCCCTTTTAGATGCACACCATTTTACAAGCACAGATATAGCAAATGCACAGCTTTGCAGTGTTAGCAGGGGAAAAAAAAAAAAAAAAAAAAGCCTTACAATGCAAACAAAACAACAAGCAGCTTGTCCCAGCTGCAGAGGCAGCACTGAAGATGCATTCGCTGGGGGAGCTCACCCCCTGGTCTCCTGTTCCAGATCTGTTCCAGAGAAGTATTACACAGGCCCATGGCCTCTGTTGCCCTGCTTCATGCCCTCGGCCCCAGACATGCCTATGGCAGAGAAAGTATTAGGAAGAGAAGATTCTGTTGGAAAAAAAAAAGATACCAACCTTCCTTCCCGAGGGTGACATTCCCTGGGCACTGAGTGGGCACGGAGAATTTGCTCACAGCCTCGACACCATTCCTTCCTTGCAGGGGTGGGGTGCCAGCCCTGCAGGGAGCTCTTGAGCAGGCCACTTTTACGACCTCCCCGTCCAACCACTCACTACTGGGTCCCCGTGTTTTATTTCCTTCATAGCTCCCCATCTTGAAGTCTTTTGTTTGCTTATATGGTCAGTCTCCCCATACCAGGAGAGCAGAAGCTTCACCGGCATGAGGGAATTTGCCATCTTTTTACCCAGCATCGCAGTTCCTGGAACTCTGTGTGATGTACAGCCAGCATTTGGCAAATGTTGCTGCGAGAATAAACAGAGCGAGCCATTTGGTGCTATCTCCTTTGGTTCTTTCAAAACCTCAGAGATATCCACTTTTATTGGCTTTATTTTACAGATGAGGAAACGGAGGGTCCTTATTCATGAATGACCCATCTAAAGCCACACAGCTAGTAAGAGAGGAAGCCAGACTCTCAATCAGCTTCAGTCTCCAGATCCTTTGTTCTTTTTTTCAAATCCTGCTACCATCCTGTGTACCCCATGGTGATGTCCCTATTTCCAGAAAGTAATCCCCTGCCCAACTGTTTAAGGCTGATGAACTACTTGTACCATGTTTTTTTCCTCAACAGGAAATTTCATCTTCCAGACTATGTCTCATAAGAAAGCCACCAAAGCAAAAGCTGTCCTGGTTATTATAGGCTTAGATTCGTGATCCTTTCCATGTATTTTTTTTAACTGCCATTAAGAATTAAGCAGAACTGATATGGAGTGATCTCCAAAACATAAATTTAAAAAGCAAGATGCAGAACATTGTGCATGGAAAGCTACTGTTTTGATAAAAAGAGACGGGAGACTGTTCAACATGTCAGTTATACTCCTTGGTTTTTTACCCAAATGAGGTGAAACTTAATGTCCACATGAGAACCTGGATATAGATGTTTATAGCAGCTTTATTCATAATTGCCAAAGCTTTGAAGCAACCAAGATGTCCTTCAGTAGGTGAATAGATAAATAAACTCTGGTAAATCCAGACCATGGCATACTATTGAGTGCTAAAAAGAAATGAGCTATCAAGCCGTGGAAAGACACGGAAGAATTTTAATTGCTTATTACCAAGTGAAAGAAGCCAATCTGGAAAGGCTACATACTGTATGGTTCCAACTATATGACATCTTGGAAAAGGCCAAACTATGGAGACAGTAAAAAAAAAATCTGTGGTTGCCAGGGGGTCCGTGGGAATAGGGGGAGTACAGGGGATTTTTAAGTCAGTGAAACTATTCTGTCTGATACTATAAAGATGGGTACACAACAGGCATTTGTCGAAACCCCTAGAATGTGCAACACCAAGAGGGAACCCTAATATAGACTATGGGCTTTGAATGATAATGATGTGTCCATGTAGGCTTATCAATTATAATGAATGTACCACCCTGGCGGGGGGTATTGCTAATGGGGAAGGCCCTGCATGTGTGGGGGCAGGAGGTATATAGGAAATCTCTGTACCTACCCCTCAATTTTGCTCTGAACCTAAAATTGTTCTAAGCTTCTAGTTATAAAATAAATAGGTCACAGGGATGAAAAGTGCAGCATAGGGAATACAGTCAATAATATTGCAGTAACACTGTATGGTGACAGTGACTATACTTACCATGGTGAATTTGGATAATGTGTAGAATTGTTGAATCAATGTGCTGTATACCTGAAACTAATATAACATTGTATGTTAATATATTTTGATTTTTTTAAAAAAAGTCTATTTTTAAAAATTTAAAAATAAGATTAAAAAGGGAGGGGAGAGAATACTTACACACGTTTACTTGTGCATGCATTTCATTTTTTGGCAGGATATGCAAGAAATTAATTTCATTAGCTATTTTCAGTGAAGTAATTATGTACCTGGAGCCAGGGGTTGGGTGGGGGAAGGATTTTTCACCGTGTATCCTTTTGTTCCTTTTAAATTTAATAGCATGTGACTATGTCATATACTCAAAAAGAAAAGATCTCACCTATAGACACTATGTTCACACCCAGAATTTGCTTTAGCTAAAGTCTTATGATACAGGTGAGTTCTGAATACTCATTTGGGGCTTTCCGTGCCTTTCCAACAAAAAAAAAAATGGCAACAGAATCCTGGCTGGGGACTAGGGCAGGTCCCAGGTCAACTCTCCCCAGCACACACACTCAGACAAGATGTCCATCCTTGTAGGATGTGTGGTTCCTCACACCGCAAGAGCATGTGCCTCTGGGAGAGCCACAGACTACGTGCTCTGACTCTCTTGCCCTCCAGTCTTCCAGTCCTCCTAATTGGGAATGAAGACCTCTTATCCTGCCATCTTGCTGAGGTAGTCTTCTTTTCAGCAAAAAAGATGGAGCATGGATGAACTGGCTGTGGTATGGGTTAGCAGGGGAGGAGGGGGCAGTCAGGTGGATGCTGGCTGAGGGTGATGGTGTGAGACAGTGGGGGGCGGGCAGTTGGAGGCTGGATGCTATGGTGGTGTAGGTTAGTGGCGTGGGCAGGTGGAGAATGATGAGGGGTGGTCACATGGGCAGGTGGACACATGAGCGCACGTGAGCAGATGGGTGGATGGGTGGGTAGGTGGAATGGACTAGAGATGTAGAGATGCGGCTGGGGCCGGTGCTCAGGGCAGCAGTTACTTTCTCTGAGCACATTCTCTAAAAGGAAAGCTCTTTCAATAATTTCTCCCACCAGGTAATTTGTTGATTTGCTGGTTGTTAGTATTATGTGGAAATCATAACAAAAGCATGTGACACCAGACAAAGTTGGCAGAGGAAGTTGCTGCTCTTTTTCTAACCTGTTCACTCTCCGATCACCTATGAAGCCATTGCCATCACTGTCCCTGCCTCTGAGGTTGGGGACACAGGGGACAATCTGTCCACTCCTCTGCTTGGCTCTCATCCCAGTATTTTTCTCTTTGCTGACAAAGTGGTGAGATGTACCACGCTCAGCTTACCATCCCCTTCCCCCCTCCCTCCTAGTCTCTCCTGCTCTAGATGCCCAGCAGCCCTTCCATGCTGTCCTGGGTTATAAAGCAGAATGGCTCGCACAATGCTAACAACTGATGGCAGATGATTTCCTGTTTACTGCAACTCCTCCTTCCAGGGAAGTGAGAGCATGCTTATGGCTTCCCTGCCACTCGAGGACTCAAAACATCCCCCAGAGATTCCTTATACAGCCAGTGCCATAGCCGCTTGGGCACCCACTAAGCTCAGTGCCCTCTCTCGGGCACTGAAGGGGCAGAGGCTTAGAATCAAAGTGAAAATCTGTGCCATCGTCTGAGGAAGTCTGAATTCAGAAAAGGGAGGCACACGTCATACTTTAAAAGCCCAAAACATAATAACATAGTGCACTAGGAGCAGAAGCACAAGTGTGCAAGTAATTACAGACAGGGAGGCAGATGGCCTAATCCTCTTGGAATATGTGAGGAACACCTCCGCAGAACAATGTTAAGTAACCCCTAGCAGATGGAAGAAGGGCAGGCTTTAGCTCCTGTCTCATCTGCCCTCTCCACTCTTTGAAGGCTTAGAGAAGTTCTCCATCATTAGCATGTCAGAGCAACAGCTTTAAACAAAGGGAAAGCCCACCCCCACCCCTCACCCCCGCCACAGCTTTTTTTGCAGCTTGAAATACTGAGGATAAGACAAGTTTGAGGGGAGGAAATGCTTTACTGTATTTCCTCTGCCCTTCCGATTTGGAAGCATTCCACCCTGTGGCTGTCTCCGGTTGTGTCTGTCCCACTAACCAGGCTTGGGAAATGTCTGTCCTGCACCTCTCCTTGATTAGTGTGCTTGATAGGACCGTGATTCCCCAGACATGTCCCTGTCCTAAGCCCAGGAACCTGTGCACATGGTAGGTTACCTGGCAAGGGGGTATTAAAGGAGCAAAAGGAATTAAGCTTGTTAATCAACTGACTGATTAAAGCAGATTATCCTGGATTGTCGAGGGGGCCCAGTGTAATCTCAGGGTCTTTAATGTGGAAGAGGGAGGCAGAAGAACCAGCATTGGAGTGATGCAGAGGGAAAAGACTCAATCCGCCATTGCTAGCTCTGACAATGAAGGAAGGGGCCACCAGCCAAGGGCTGCCTGTGGCCTCCGTAAGCTGTAAAGGGCAAGGAAAGGATTCCTAGAGTCTCCAGAAGAGAACACAGCCTTACTGGCACCTTGGTATTAGCCCAGTGAGATCCACTTCAGAGTTTTGATCTCCAGAACTGTAAAATAATCCCTTTGGACAATTTTCAACCACCACGCGTGTGGTAAGTTGTTACAGCTGCAGCAGGGAATGAACAGAATTGGAAAATTGGATCCTGCTTGACTCAGGTCAAGGCAAGGCCTGCCTCCAATGTCTTCCTAGTGGGGGTCAGTTCCATCAACATCATCCATAAAAGAGGGTGAATCCTATCCACTGGCCTAGAAGGAGCTCCAGATGTCAGGAGCTGATCTTTGGCTCCAGATGTCTTGAAGTGAGATGTAATAAAATGGCACCCAATATTCATAAGAGGAGATGACAAGACCATTTTCTTAGAGGTCCAGGCATTAAGGGTTGGGACCAGTTATGGTGAGAAATAAGGGCATGAACTCAGGTGGCTGAAGCAGAGTGTGTTTTGGCCTAAAGGTTGATGAGGATCTAGGGAGGTGGATCCTGCAGGAGGATGTTGCAGCATGAGGGGTCCCCAGGGACTGGAGCACTCTAGATGGGGAGGTATAGATCCACTGTTAGAAAGAGCAATCATGGGGGCTTCTGGGTGGCCCAGTTGGTTGAAGATCCGACTCTTGATTTCGGCTCAGGTTATGATCCCAGGGTTATGGGATCGAGCCCTGTGTTGGGCTCTGGGCTGAGCATGGAGCCTGCTTAAGATTCTCTCTCTCTCTCTCTCTCTCTCTCTCTCTCTCTCTCTCTTTCTCTCTCTTCCCCTCTCCCTCTCCCTCTGCCCCTCTTCCCTGCTCACACACTCTCTCTCCAAAAACAGAACAATAAATAAATAAATAAATAAATAAATAAATAAATAAATAAATAAATAAAAATCATGGCCTGAGGGATTCACTAGCATACAATACAGAGTCTCTCTCGAAGCTCAGAATTTCTTGGGAATTACAAAGCTAAACCTTGTGGATTCATCAAAAAGGGGTAATGACCACTGAATGGTGTGACAGCTAAAACTTAAAAATTCAGCAGAAACTCATTGCTGATTCATTCCTAAAATCTGTGTCTTCAATGCTCATGAGGTACAGAATTGGGCTTTACAAGCAGTTTATCTTTCCAAAGTAGAGGCAACATATCCTGTGTCCAAGCCTCTCCTATTCCTCAACCTTCCCCCTGCTGACTCCATCTTCTTTCCTCAGGATAACAGTGGGGAGTGTGGAGAGGAGAGGAAAGGTCAGCATTGGGTGGAACCCAGGAAAGCATTTCTCACCCATCCTGCCCAGTGGAGGTGATCCCCACTTACTGATGCAGGAAGTGTAACCCCCAAAGTGAATGGAGCTTGTTGGAGGCTGAAGGAATAGGGCACATGTGACCACTGCAGCAATTCTATGGGACATACTGTGGGTTTCCTATAGCTAGAACCCAACCCTTAGGTTTGGAATTTCTGGAAGCGGAGCTCATGTCTGTTCCCATTTTTTCACCACACCCCAATCCCCCATCCCAGGTGCCAAGGAGAGTGCTTGGCACAAAAGGACACTCCATTAAACCCTTGCTGAATTTCATAGAATTGAAGGTGCAGCCAAGTTCCTGTCTCTCTTCTAGCAAGTATAACTGAAGATCTCTCTTCCAACAGACTCCAAACTTCTCTCTGTACCAAGTCATAGGAGTTTAAATGGGATGATGTAGCATTGATGCAAATTGGAGAAGATGTCATTAAGTAAATAGTTCCAGTCTGAACACAACTGGAGGGCTAATGGACTTGGGAATATAATCTAACTTCTTAGTAAAGTAAACATCTGATGACTGAACTTGTCCCCTGTCACAACCATACTTCTTCAGTTTCTCTCCTTCCTTCTTACATATCCACTGAATGACTCTGTCATCTGAGCTATTTGTCTGTTCCCCTGCCTGAAATGCCCTCTCTGAATACCCTTCTTCACCTATCTGGAAAATTTCTATTCAATTTCTAAGACTCTATGTGTCATCTCTACCAGGAGTCTTTTCCCGATGTTTCAGGTACCTCTTCCCTTCCCCATACATTTCTATCCTAGTGACTGCTACCTGTTTCAAACATAATTAATACTCTTCATCTTCAGGAACTGTGTCATTTATCTTTCTATCACCACACACTAGGAAAATGCCTAGCATGTAGTAAATTCTCAATAAATGTCTATTGAATAACCCTATACCAGCAGCTACTATCAACTGAGCCCATTTTACTATGGACATCACATTATTCTAAGCTTTATATATATACTGACTCATTCAGTTGCTTGAATAGTCATATAAAGTTCTTTGCTCTCCCATTCTACAGATTCAGGAACTGGGCCTGGAAAAAATGAATAATCTCCTATAGTTTTCCTAGTCAGTCAGTGGAAAAGCCAACATTCAAATCCAGGGTGTCTATCAGATTGTATGAGTCTTCTAAGGTTCCTAAAAGGGTTATAGCTGCTGCTTTAGTTAAAGTAGAAAAGATTAAACACCCTAAAAACACAAAATCCAATTTAAAAATGGGCAGAAGGCACAAACAGGTATTTCTCCAAAG